ACAGATGAACGCACCGCATGTTTTAGGGAAATCTAAATATCCTTAAAACAAGATGCATTGAGTTGAGAAGCAAGATTGCATAAGATAGTGTGTTATGACATGTTTTCAGAGGATTTATCCTGAGTTAAGTTTATTTTTTCTGACCCCGTTGGCAAATTGTTAAAGATTTATCCTTGAAACAAGAAAAACAACAATTTGCCAGTGGAGGAAGAAACATACACTTGATTCAGGATAGACTACCGTTTAAATCTTTAGGGTTGGCAGGATTTTTTATTGTTTTCATAAGTCTCTTCTGTATGGAAGCCCGTTTCCGCCACTGAATAATAAAAAAAAAGGTTATTGCGACTTTTTATCTCACAATTCTGACTTTTTTTCACAGAATTGTGAGATATAAACTCGCAATTGTGAGTTATAAAGTCAGAATTGCGTGATATAAACTCGCAATCGCAAGTTAAAGTCCAATTTTGAGGGGGGAAAAAGACCGATATGTTCTCAGGATTGCGAGTTTAGGCTATATCTCACAATTCTGACTTTATAACTCGCAATTGCGTGTTATAAAGTCAGAATTGCGAGATATATACTCGCAATTGCGAGAAAAAAGTCTGAATTGCGAGATATAAACTTGCAATTGCGAGAAAAAAAGTGATGAAACTGACCTGCACTTGAAGCCCTGAACAGGTCAGTGATGTTGCTACATTTCACTGCTTTTTCTGGCCGCTTCATCTCTTTCATCGAGTCCCTCGCATCGGTTCTGTTCGGAATCGTTTGACGGAAGCGCGGATCAGACGTGAGCTGATTATAGTGCAGCGCTGCCAGTCAAGACGAACAGATTTATGATTTACCGTATTGTCCCGAATATAAGACGATGTTTTTGGAAATACATAAAAAACGCGGTCGTCTTATATTCAGGGTCTAGACTTTGACATGTCAATAATACACCCACAACAATAGGTGGCGCCAAAATAATAATAATAATAACTGCAAAAAAGCAAACAAAAAAAACAACAAAAAAAACAGGCCAAATCAGCCGCCAGGCCACCGGGAATTCTCCCGGTGCTCCCGATGGCCAGTCCGGGCCTGTACTTAACTGATTAGTAGCCTATATAAGGGAATAGACTATTTCCAGACAAAAGTTGAATAAGGCCACTAGGAATGGCATCAAATATACTGCAAACTATTTAGCAGTTACAGGGATCTTATAATAATTAAGGAATTCACAGTAATTAAAGAGATGTCCATTATTCTTGAATAGCTGTCTCACCAAGCTTATACCATTATTGTACTAGTTTCTGTAAAATAAGGACTTATTTTTTAACAGTATGGCTCTCGCTAAATAGAGTGCTGTGTGAATGGATGAAGTATTTTTGTAGGTCAAAACCATAGACTGTATAAAAAAATTGGACGTAGTGTCCGTGACCTAACCCGTAGACTTCCGACGAGCGTTTTGAAGCCTAAAGTAGGCGGAGCCAGCCGTCGCCATCTTGGCAGCGCGTCACCGCGCGTCACTCCCGGATCATCGAAAATGAGCAAAGAGGCGGGAGCTGGCTGCTGAAACCACGCCCACCTAGCTCGACGGTGGTGACAGCAGCGGCAATCCACTTGTCACTCAAGTGGCCACGCCCTTAATTATGCAGAACTTTAAGGCTTAATATAATTTAAACGGATGAGTCAAAAAAAAATTAACTCTATTAAAATTAAAATTAAGTTGCCGTTCGGTCAAAACCCAGAACGAGTTAACATTTTAGCACTTCCGGTTACATCGTCCTGAAGTCATGAGTTTTTAGTTAAATGCCTAAAATAATGTCTGTGGTTCACACAATCTCAAGATATATTCACATTTTATTCTATGACATAAAATACAAGAGTAATATCCCTTGTGTTCTTTAAGTAGACAAGTGCTAAATTGAACTAAAGAGATTGTCTGACTATTTTTATGTCTTTACAGGAATAGTTTACCCCAAAAATGAAAATTTGCTGAAAATATACTGACCATCAGGCCATCCAAGATGTAGATGAGTTTGTTTCTTCATCAGAACAGATTTGGAGACATTTACATCACTTTCTCACCAATGAATTCTCTGCTTTGAATGGGTGCCGTCAGAATGAGAGTTCAAACAGCTTGTAAAAACATCACAATAATCCACAAGTAATCCACATGATTCCATCAATTAACATCTTGTGAAATAAAAAGCTGTGTGTTTGTAATAAACAATTCCATCATTTATATGTATTTAACTTCAAACTCTTCCGGCTAAAACATGAGTCCTCGATCCATAATATTGCTTTGTCTAGTGAAAAAATAATCTAGTCTGATTCAGGAGAGAAATCAAGCACTGTTTACAAGTGAAAACAGTTTGAAGACAAGCAGGGATGGACTTTTTTTTTTTTTTTACTGAGGGAAGCTTTATTATGGATTATAGCTAGTATTTTGGCCAGAAGCAATGGTTAAAAATGTTGAAACGCCTTAATAATAGATTTCTTTATTACAAACACACAGCTTTTCGCTTCAAAAGACTCGGACTGGAGTTGTGTGAATTACTTGTGGATTATTGTGATGATTTTTATCAGCTGATAAAATCTCATTCTCACGGCACCCATTCACTGCAGAAGATCCATTGGTGTGAGCAAGTGATGTTATAATAAATTTCTCAAAATATGTTCCAATGAGGAAACAAACTCATCTACATCTTGGTTGGCCTAAGAGTGAGTACATTTCCAGCGATTTTTCATTTTGGGGTGAGCTATTTCTTTTAATAATAATGCATAGCCCACATGTTTTCCATACCAAAAACTTGATTGAGATGCAGTTACCCATATATCCACCAGAGGTCCTATTGGCAGCATCATTCGAATTGCTAAAACATGCAACACACACTACTCTTATTTTGTTGCACTGTGAAATGTAAATATGAAAAGGTGTCAATAATTGCTCACTGGATGTGTAATGCAGATTCATAATGGCAAAAATATAACCAACAATGCTAATGTTAAGTTTAACGTTCTTGCACATTTGTATGTGAAGCAGGCAGAGACTGTCTATGTCCAGGGCTAGGTTTAGACCTGAAGCTCTGCTGTGAAATTCCTGACTGCAGTGAGAGGGCATCTAGGGCAGGGTGCTGAAAGAATGTGAAATATATCGTTTTAGAGTAGAAGAAAGACTGAGGGAAAGAGCGGATCCATAACAGAAGGAAAAAATGTTTGTTTTGAATTGGGATAGAAGTAAAAATATCTGACAGTCAAACACAAACCCATGCATTCTTTCACATCCATTTTTTTAAACCTTACATCAAACATTTTTTTAGGAAAACTAATATCTCCACTTACACTGTGGACATAATTTTGTCACTGATTTGCAAGGGGATTTTTAAAGGGGTCATATGATGCTTTTTTAAAGATCATTATTTTGTGTATTTGGTGTAACAGAATATGTTGACATGCTTTAATGTTCAAAAAACACATTATTTTTCAAATACTGTACATTATTGTATGTCCTCTATGACCCGCCTCTGTGAACATTTGGGCGGCATTATGCAAATGTTTCCACATAGTGAGGTAGATATGTGGGGCGTGTTAGAACGAGCCGTTTTAGGGGGGCGTGGCAGAGTCTTAACTTTGATAAAGAATTTCTCTGGTTTTGAGGCTTTAGTCTTTGCAACTTCAGGGATCTTATCTATGCACAATCAGCTTGTAACACTCCAAAGAGAAAGGAAAACTTGAAATCGCATCATATGACCCCTTTAATGTAAGTGCTGGTTTCCTTGTGTCTTGGTGAATCCTGGTGAAGTTTACTGTGTTCATCATTAACATTATAATGACTGCCATTATTGAAGTACATATTCCAGTGACATAGGCTACATATTTAATAAATAATTAAATAAGCATTAAACTTGTTACAGACAGTACAGATTTTATTCAACACACATCAATTTTACATTAAACACCACATGATCCTTTTTTTGTCAGTCGGCAGGTGGATTTCTAAATACAAAATCACAAAATGTCATTATCATTATAACCATCACGATCTTATGATTTTGGTTAATAATGCATTTAGCTGTGCAACAAATCATAATATCTCCAAAATTAGAGCTCATATTCTAAATGCAGATTAAAGGAAGCATCATAATATCATAATGGCTTGGGCAGAAATTTGAAGAGATGGCACAACATGGACTTGTCTCACAAATACTAATGCAGGGTTTTGATGCAGGACGTTATTTTGAGATGATATTTGAAATGATAAAGAGAGACAACTGATAGTAAGCATTCTTTTTTACAGTTAGGTGAGGGTTAGATCAAGAATTTCCGTAAGATTTTAAACATGAATGCAAAAAAAATTAAATTTTTATCTAATTCAAAAACAAATAATGATTTGAAGTCACAAAGTAACAATGATTAAGCGCTTATAAAAAAAAAAAAAAAAAAAACAAAGTAATGGTGAGTCACATACAGTGTGTGAATGAGGCCAGTTTTTGGAAGATTTAAATTTTATAAATTTATTTATAAATTAATGTATCTATTTTATTTATTAATACATTAATTCTTCTGTTAAAATGTATTATTTGAGCGGTAAATTTGATTACAATTTTTTACAGTAATTTTTTTTTTTAGAATCTGAGTGTATGGTTGTGAAACTGAACTGTGAAAGTTGTGAAACTAAATATAATTTTACACACACAAACACACACACAAAAAAGGTTAGTAAGTGATTTTTCACACTAAATTCATGTTAACATTGTTTACATCATGTGGTTATACTATTGAAACACAAATTAGTATTTCAACATTTACATTTGCACGTAACCTTTTTTTCTTTTTCTTTTTTTTAAGAAAATGAAAACTGAGTTGAAATTCGATTGTGCAATTGTGAAATTCAACCTGTGGTCAACAATATGCCACAAGTGCTGCTGACTGAGCTTAACTTGTATTTAATTCTAGATTATTTAATACTAAGGACTTCTAACCATAGTAAGCACCACTAATATTCAGCCAGGAGACCATCAAAGCATTGTTTCCAGTTCTTTCCAAGACATGGAACCTGAATGTTCATCATCTGCTACAAAATCATGTTCACTTTCCTCTGCATTCTTGTTGGTCTGCTTGCATGGAGACCTTTTCCCATCATTCTGCCTCAGAACCAGCTCATGCTGCCGCACTGTAAAAAACACAGTCTCTGTTTCGTGAGGCGCATGCCCAGGTAAGTTTCCTGAATGGTGGAGACGTGATTGTCCTTTGGCCCCCATGGTGCCCAGAGGCAGGCCTTTAGTGCCGCTGACACTGAGACACACGCTCTGAGTTGTGGTGTGTGACATCATGCCTCCATAGTAGCCGCTTCCACATCCCGCGCTGCTGTTGACACGAGCTTTCTGCTTCAGGTCTATTGCAAGACTGCGCCTTAGCCAAGCCTTCTTAAGCTCTGCCTGCACCTGTTCATGATGGAGAGATTAAAAAAAAGAAATAGACAGAGAAAAAGGGTTAAGACACTGGCACACACACAAATTTAAAGGTGATGTATGTGGTTTCCTCTATGTTAAAATACAGTCACTTTCCAGCTTAACGAAATATGTTGTGTCCCAAATGAAAACCACTTATACTATGTACTTTCTAGTGTATGAAGGATATTCTGTAATGTGGCACTGGAGTCTCGTAGCCCTTTCCGGTATCTAATTACCTATACAGCAAAAAATATATATACTTTCTGGGCAAAATATATTTCAAATATATGCTAAAAGCTTAATGAAATATCTTTTTGAAATTGAAAATATTTAGTTTTATCCTTCATATACCAAAATATATTTCAAAATGCAAGAAAATACATTTCCAGCCTTATAGTAGCCTAATAGCTTACTAGTGAAATCTCAGTGCACAAGTGCATGGTCTGAGTGTGTGAAGTGCACTTTTTGTTGAAATTTTCAGTGTGAACACACTACTATTTATGCTACCAAATTGCATAGTGCAATAAATATGCAGAGTATGAATTGAGATACATCAATCCACCTAAATTTTAAGTAAAAATGTAAAAGGCTTCTGGGGTCATCAGCTTCCAGTTATTTTTATCTGAACAAAACAGCTCGTTGTGCTGCTTGATATTGGAAACTGGTATTTCTTTTATTATTTTAATGTAGTACTGTATTATTGCAACTATAGACACACTGGTTTGTAACATAAATAGTTTACAGCACTTTTTATTCTCCTTGTTAATTTACCTATAGTGACTAATGAATCAGAAGTCTTGCACACTCACAGAAAATAGCATCTTTCGCGTTGCAAAATATTATAAGGTGGATAGTTCACCCAAAAATGAAAATCCTGTGTTCAACTTTGTCGGTCGAAATTGTGTATAAGAATTTTCAGCCATAGTCACACGACACGGACAAGAACTCAAAATGAAAAGTTTGAGTAAAAGATGACAGAACTTACATTTTTAAGTGAACTATGCCTTTAAATATGTAGAGACAAATGAAACAAATATAAGCCATTTGTGTTTGATTCCCCCCAAAACTGTATAAACTGTCAATAAAACATTGCTCTGTTTATTTGAGCTCCCCAACCAGCCCAAAACAGCAACATTAGCTAAAGGCATTATTCTTACAATTACATTCTGTCCTAAATTACACTCTGCATCTTTAAAGGATCATTTCACTTCCAGGATAAAAAGTTCCTGATTATTTACTCACCCCCATGTCATCCAAGATGTTCATGTCTGTCTTTCTTCAGTTGAAAATAAAGATTTTTTTTTTTTTTTTTAGAAAATGACTGATCGCTTCACTAGATAAGACCCTTATATCTCGGCTGGGATGGTGTAGAGCCTTTTGAATCTGCATTGAAACCACTATATGGAGAAAAAATCCTGAAATGTTTTCCTAAAAAAAAACTAATTTCTTTTCGACTGAAGAAAGAAAGACATGAACATCTTGGATGACATGCGGGGTGAGTAAATTATTAGGAAACTTTGATTCTGGATGTGAACTAATCATTTAAACATGCATTTTTCAAAGAAAGCTCATTGAACTGTTCAAGTTCACACCATCAAGTCACACTGGGTAAAATACAGTAAGTACACATGTATAAATCTAAAGTGTGAAACACTCACCTCCCCATTGCAGAAGCAGTAAATAAATGCCACAAAGAAACCCTGTGGAAATGAAATGAAAAATTCCAATGAAATCATAACCAGAAAAATCATGCAATTTTTCAGGGCAGCAACCATGTATGATGCTTCATGTTCCCTAACTAAATTAAAGCAACATGAAAAGCTCCATTGACAAGTCATTTGTATGTTTAAAAGCTGTATCTGTTAATTTTATTTTAAGAACCTTAGTTACCATGAACTACAGTAGCAATAAAAAGTTGTATTTTATTGACTAATGTAAACAAATATGAATAAAAACCATAAGCAATTAATTGTTTACTGTTAGTTAATGTGAGTTAATGCACGTAAAGTGTAACCCTGTCATCTTAATTAATCAATTATTATTGAAAATTAATCAATTAATTAAACTTCTATGGAAAGTGTGAATCATTGTCACTGTGAACATAACTGCAGACTATTCCATTTTTAGCAATCAAATCCCAAAGTAATTTCCTTCATATCTATTACTTGCAGATTATAGGTTTAAAAATGCCCTTGGGGAAAACTTGCCATGTCAAAGGAGACCCCTGACCCCACATTTTTTTTGTTTTTTTGGAAAATAGACTATACCTGTGAAGAGTTGAAGAGCATCTCATAATGCATCTGAATCTGCCACAGCAGACCTGTGACCTCAGTGTATGGAAGAGCCATGAACAGCATGTAATGAACTCCAAACAGTGGCATCAACACCAGGGTTGACTTCAGCAGTTTCCTACACAGCAAACAAATCACTACAAATCACATGTGTGTTTACATGCGTAAACGCGTGCGCGTGTGTAGTAATTTATAACCTGTACTGCTGTCTAGGGTCTAGTTTTCCAGTGTTTGTTTCCCACAACTTAGAGGCCAGAACCCTGATGATATTGAGGAAGAGAAAGAAGTTCACCTAGATAAATAAAACACACAAAAATAAGTGACTTTTCAGTAGGGATTTTCTGATAGGAAGCGTTTATTGTTTATAAAATATGGATAATATATTTTCCATTTTATAAAGTACACATTTTCGTTATTGCATAGGATATATTTAATTTAAAGATTTGAATTATTATTAGTATTAATTAGAGAAAAATATATATTTTCTTACAACAATGGCTGCCAGGATAGGTACTTGATAGATCCATTTGAGATTGCCGGCGCTTATATCCCAGCACCTAGAGATAAAGAAATCCAGCCTTCAATGCTTTAGAAAGCACTCTCAATCATCTATTATCTTTATTTTACTGTGTTGCAATGTGAAATGAATATTTAATTATTTAAAACTTTTTTTACACTGGGACACTCATTATTACACAGTCCAGAGTTTTTCTTGAGTATTTTCCTCACACATCCTCTATAAAAAGTCCAGAGCAAATTACCTACTTTTTCAACAAACTCAATGGTTCTTTGAGAAATCTAATCCCTTCCGAAGGCAAATGTCTGTGACTGAGGATATTTTATCGCAGCACTCCTCCATGTGTGTTTTTTTGACTACACTGATCTACCATTTGCACATTAATCTTGCTGCACATGGACAGCATCCAACAAAAAAGTAATATAAAACAATTCTGGTAACCATTTACAATTAGGTTAGGTTTATTAATAAAGTTTATCAACATTAGTTAATGCATTACATAACATGAACTAACAATTAATAATATATATTTTACAGCATTTATTAACCTTTGTAATGTTAGTTAATAAAATTATATTAATGTTATTAGTTATTAGTTCACAGTGCATTAACTAATAGTAAAAGATACAACTTTTGTATAACTATTATTTATGTTAACTAATATAGATAACTGATTTTAACAAATGAAACCTCATTGTAAAGTGTTAACAAAATTCTTAACTCAGAAAAGCCTTATTTGTGTTAATATGGTGGAAATTACTAGACATCCAGGCTTTAATCTTACCTACACAATGTAGGCCCTACTAAGAAACAAAATAATGAAGAACCACTTGGAATGAGTATAATACAAAGCTGCGTACCATCAGCATATAAATTATATGAAATATTGTTTTTACAAAAAAATGTAAACTAATGGAAACATATACAGTGAAAATAAAATTGATCCAAGAATAGAACCCTGCAGCACACTGCTGCTTAATATAGACGATGAATAAATACATTAATAAAAACATGAACTACTTAAACAACTGCTTGACCGCACCATAAATATCTTGACTTCATATGTTCAGCCAGAGACTATTTTTAGAAAGGCCAACATTAGGTCTTGCATGGAATTTGCTAAAAACTATGTGACAAAACCTAAACCTTTTGGAAAAAAGTTTTGTGGTTTGATGGGACCTATTTGGCCTAAAAGTGCAAGTTAAAGCCAAACAAAGCTCAAGATAATAATACATTTATTCTCCAGAAGATAATACATTTATTCTCCAAACTGCAATGTCCTGTGTAGGGTTGTGGGGATGTTAGGGCCAATCCCAGAGTCTCGGGCCGAAGGCAGGGAACTTAGGAGATCATATTCCAAGGTGTTATCATTTAGAGCTTTAACAGAAACCTTTGCATGTAGGCACTGCATGCATGTGTGCCACTTGTTTGTGTGTGTAAACCTACTGTGTGTCTGCCAGAGACACCCGGGCACTGACCCATATGGATACAAACACTGCAGGTATTCCTATGTAAGAGGAAGCAAGAGAGACTGAAGCAGGATGTTAAAGGAGAATACTATCTACATTTTGCACCCTCAATGCCATAATGTATTGCTCTACAAAATGTTACTATCATATGCTATCTTCAAATCAAAAGTGACAACTCACCCCAGCCTATGATTGTTAAAGCCCACAGACAGTTTTTATCAGACAGGAAGGCCATGAAGATCAGACTATGCAAATACAGACCCTCCACCAGGATCCAATAATGATTGGTTGCCAAGAGATACAGGAAGAGGGTCACAACAAACTTGCAGCCCACCTGTTAGCACACAGAACAATAAAGCAATGTTGGGTTCTGCAGACACTTTGTGTTATTTATGTACAGTACATATGTATTCATTTGCAAATGTGTTTTTGTGAGTACCATGTAGGGTCTTTGTCCAATGGCCCCATCTTCTAGTTTGCCTTCATCTATGACAGCATAAAGAACGGCGTCTTTCACAAATATACTGATTGCTCGGCATATGAATGAGGTGAAGAGGTGGATGTGGATGTAGTTACGGGTGCAATGGAGACGTCTATAGAAAAAAAGAAACAGAGAAAGGAGAATAATCAAGCTAACTTTGAAGTAGTTGTGGAAAATGATTCATTTCATTGTCTCATACTGTAAGTCACATGACAATGCAGATGTAGTACATCCAGATTGCTTTCATTATGAATTGTAACTTTTTAAAGTGCAATTAATTGAACGTATGGGTGTTTTTGACCCACTTAAAGTATGACTTAAGTACATCTTTATATGTAATTTTACAATTACTTGATTCTTGTTATTAATTACTAGTGTGAACTGAATGTAAAGTTTTGGTTCTGCATGGGTAAATTACAACTATTCCCTTCTTTCTCAGTGAGCAGAGGACCTGCTGACTGTCTGATCAGATCATAGCAAAGATATCTCATAAGTCTGTATCTGAACACATGGATATCATATTCAATGCTACTCTTACATTAAAAATGTGATATTTATCTTGTCTAAATGTTAATTTTGCACTTACTTAAAATAGCAAAGGATAAAGACAGCCACCAGTAACGCCACCAGTGATATGGAGTATCCAATAGTGTACATGAGATAAAGTCGCTCAAAGACCTCCTAAATAAACACAGCAAAATAGTACACATATTATTGAACGTATGTACATGTGACTGTAAATGCCTGTACATTTTAGTCCATGCTCTTATTTTATATCTTTTGGACAAAAAAATAAATAAAAAATATTATATAAATTTTTTTGTGTTGCTATGCTGATGTTTCTGTGTGGTTGCTATAGGTGGTTGGTGACTGAAACATGTCAAAAGAGTACATATCAAACTATCTATGATATTCTGGTCTAAAGAAATGGTTCAGGTGCCTCTTTCAATTTAATCTATTGAATTTTGAATATTGAATTTTTAACCATTTTGTTTCAATTTAGTTTAGCCATCTACCAGGTGATGTCAATTAATTGACTCTGCCAATGAGTTACATTCTTAAATTTATATAGTATGAATATGAGCAATATATAGTATAATATGAGCAATAGAAATGTAATGCATGCCATAAATTGGATAATAGCTGCCTATGAGTTATGAAAAATACACACCTCCTGATCGCTGTGGTTAGTGTGCAGGTAGGTGGTGCATTCTGTGTAGTTAGCCCATGTCCGGTTTATAGTGGATACCTGCTCCCAGTTACCTGATGCATCACAGTGGCGATATGCGTATCCTAAAATGCACATAAAACTGTAATGCTAAATACTTAAGTATATAGTGTGGCTGCATACACTTAAATATGTGACAGAATTCACATACAGTGCTTGATATGTTTCCCCTTTAAGGATGTTTAGTTGTCTGTGGTGGGGTTTCCACCACAGTTCATAAAAGCAATAGCCAGTTCACAGCTTTTCATCCAATTTTATTGTCTGTGTTCATTTAATCGCACAAATACCTACATGTAGTGACCCCGATACTCTTGGATGTTTCCAGAGTTTTTTGTTGTTGTGGTATGACAAGATGAAGGCCAGCGCAGTTGCTCTCAAGTTACCCGAGTTTTGGGAACAGCAAGCTGTGGCATGGTTCCCCTTCAGGAACTCGAGCTGCATCGGAAAACGCTTTGGGAACGCCTTCAGCGTGACCACGCTCTGTATCACATGTAAAATCATTATACGGTGCCCGTCTCTCCTCAGTGCCCTCAGGAGATCGATCTGCCAACCCTGCCACCTACGGTGCTTCAGTGTGCAGCGGTCTCCGGCGAGCGCTTCTCTCAGTCACCGAACGTAGCGGTATTAAGAGGCTCGCTACCTCTTCGGAAGATTCTAGAGCCGCTAGTTCGGCCATTCCCTGCCGGTCCGCCGCTTCAGGACACCGACCTAGCCGCTCTAAGTGCACAGACAGTTTGGGTTCTACAGCCGGTACTTCATCATCCCAAAGAAGGATGGAAGTTCCTGAGGTTTGCTTTTGGGGGCAAAAGCTTACCGGGTTCTTCCGTCGGCCTTGCACTCTCACCCCGCACTTTCACAAGGAGTGTGGATGTTGCTCTGGCTCCTCTGTGACTCCAGGGCATCCACATACTCAACCATATGGAGCAGATGGCAGTTCAGCATCGAGATGTCGTTCTCGCTCACATGAAAGAGCTGGGGTTAAGACTTAACGCCAAGAAAAGTGTGCTTTCTCCATCCAGTACAGAGAACCACTTATCTGGATGTGATGTGGGATTCGACCACGATGCAGGCACGTCCGTCTCCTGCTCGGTTCGAGTCGATCCTCACTGCAGTCGCGAGAGTGAGAGAAGGCCGGTCACTCACTGTCAGCAGTTCCAGAAACTGCTGGGTCTGATGGCAGCTGCGTCCAACGTGATACATTTTGGCCTGCTGTACATGAGACCCCTACAGTGGTGGCTCAAGACCAAGGAGTTCTCCCTCAGGGGAAACCCGCTCCGCATGCTCAAGGTCACGCTGCGATGCCTACGTGCCTTAGACATGTGGAGTAAACTTTGGTTCTTGTTTCAGGGCCCGGTGCTGGGAGCTCCTTGTTGCCCCGTAACGCTAGCGACGGTCGCGTCTCTGACCGGTTGGGGAGCGGTCATGAGTGACCGCTTGGCCCGCAGTCTGTGGAGTGGGCACCATCTCACGTGGCACATCACCTGCCTGGAGATGCTGGCCGTGTTTCTAGCATTGAAACACTTCCTCCCGGACCTAAGAGATCACCATGTGTTGGTGCGCACCGGCAACACAGCAGTGGTCTCTTATATCAACCACCAGGGAGGTCTGCGTTCACGCCCCATTTACAGGCTGGCGCACCAGATCCTTGTGTGGTCCCAGGGGAAACTCCTCTTGCTGAGATTAGTTCACATTCCTGGGCATCTCAATATGGGTGCAGACATCCTGTCAAGGCAGGGGCCAAGGCCCGGGGAATGGAGACTTCACCCCGAGGTGGTGAAGCAGATATGGAGAGTTTATGGGTAGGCTCAGGTGGAACTGTTTGCGACTCGAGAGACATCGCACTGTCCCCTCTGGTTCTCTCTGACTCATCCAGCTCCTCTCGGACTGGACGCTATGGTACAGACGTGGCCGAGGCTTCGTCTGTACGCCTTTTTCCCCGATCGCTCTGCTCCCAGGAGTTCTGGAGAGAGTGTGCCGGGACGGCGTCCGTCTACTGTTAGTAGCCCCGTTCTGGCCAGTCCAAGTATGGTTCTCGGACCTGATTTCCCTTCTCGACGGCTCTCCATGGGAGATTTCAGTCAGGAGGGATCTCTGCTCACAGGCGGAGGATACAATCTTTCACCCCCGCCCGGAGCTGTGGAAGCAGTGGATGTAGCCTCTGAGGGGGCAAAACTTGTAGCTTCCGGTCTCTCAACCGAGGTTGTTGGAGTTCCTGCAGGCCCGATTCTCTGCAGGGTTGACCCACTCCACCTTGAAAATCTATCTTGACGCCGGTTCCACCGCATGTGCTTTTATAGCTTCCTGGTCTCTACATCACCCGATTGTGACGTCTCGCCCTTCCATTGGACTGATTTTACATGTGATTCAGAGCATGGTCACACTGAAGGCGTTCCTAAAGCGTTTTCCGACGCAGCGTCTCGTTCCCTCGGGGAACCATGGTTACATTCGTAACCTGGAGACGTTTGCACAGACAGAGGCACAGTTCACGCTGCGAGACATCACTGCAGATGACACAAAGTATTACTACGTAGTAGCTTTGTTCAGCAGCTCCACAGCATTGCAAGTGGTAACCCTGTTAAATGAGCCCCCTGAGAGGGACAAGTATGGCACTCTTAAAACATACTTGTTGGGAAATTTTGGATTGACTGAATTGCGTGCGAGGCAGCTTCTTTCGTTACCAGGACTAGGTGATGCATGCCCTCTAAGCTTATGGACCACATGCTGACATTGTTCGGTGACCATAAGCCCTTTTATATTCAAAGAGCTGTTCCTTTGGCAAATGACAGAACAAGTCTGTATGGCTTTGACCAGCATGACAATCTAGGACTTACGAGAGCTGGCTAAGATGGCCGACAGTCTTTACTAACAGAGTCTTTATTAACAGTCTTTATTAAAACAGAGTTTTGTTTTACCAACATTTTTTAACGCCTCCATCAACCCACTGGTGGGTGCAGCAAATCAAACTGCACAACCGCCACATGGTGAAACGACTCTGCATTATGCTTTTATAATGATCACTTTGGGGACAGGGCCAAGAAGTGTTGCTTGCCATGTACTTTCTGTGGTAGAATTACCACAGGGGTCAGTAGTCTGTGAATGCTGTGGACACTGGCCATACTGGTTGCCTTCACTTCATTACTGACAATATCGGGGTGAAATTTCCTCTGTGATACTGGGGCCTAGGTGAGCGTACTGACGGTGACTCCACTCGACATGTGTTCTGAATATAAGAACCCCTTACTGGAGGCTGCTAAAGGCAGCCAAAATCCCAACATACGGAAAGCGCCAAGTTAAGTTGTGTTTTAATGGACAGCGTTTCACTTGGGATTTTGTTGTGGCTAAGTTGGCTCTTCCTTTGCTGGGTGCTGATTTTCTTTCTGCAATTGGTTTGTTGGTAGATGCACAAAACTGCCACTTAGTCAATGCGAAAGATTTCAGTTCTTTTCCATGTATCCTCAGCGTCTTTTCAACTACAAACTTGTCAAATTCTTCAGAGTCTAGTTGCGAGTTTTTGCAACTTTTCGTGAGTTTTCTGACAAGTCAACTTTCTCCATGGCAACAAAGAAACATGGTGTGGAACATCATATTTCTACTACAGGTCTGCCTGTGTATGCTCACGCTTGCTGTCTTGAATTTTTTTCTGTCTTGAAATTAGCTGTTGCTTAAGTTAAGTTTGCATACATGGGAGAATTAGGTATTGTACAATGCTCAAATAGTCCTTGGGCTTCTTCCTTGCACATGGTGCCTAAGTTGGATTGCAGTTAAGGTCCGTGTGGCGATTATCACAGACTCAATGATGCCACAATTCCTGTTCGCTACCTTGTTCTGCATGTTCAAGATTTCTCAGCGCGGCTAGCTGGCAAAACCATTTTCTCCAAAGTTGACTTTGTGCGAGGATACCAACAAGTGCCAGTCCACCCGGGCGGTATTCCAAAAACTGCTGTTGTCACCGCTTTTGGATTATTTGAGTCAATGCGAATGCTGTTTGGCCTGAAAAATGCCACTCAGACTTTTCAGAGGCTCATGGACTCTGTGTTACAGGGTCTAGCAGAGGCAGCCATGTTGGTGCATCCGCTTTCAGATGTTCCAATTGCTCTTACTAAAGATGCTTCTGATTTCGCGGTTGGGGCTGTCCCCTGACATACAGCACCATTGTGCTACGGGTGTCCCGAGTTCGAATCCCGGCATGTGGACCTTTCCCGATCCCACCCCACATCTCTCTCCCACTTTACTTCCTGTCATTAAACTGTCCTAACTAAATAAACGCAAAAATGATAAAAATCAATGTTTAAAAAAATGGTCTAGTGTGGCCTTAAAAAAGATGTGAGATCGTGGTCCGTTTCATGCATAACCTGTCAAAGAGTGAAAATGCAGAGTCACGTTAAGGCACCGCTGGTGCGTTTTGAGGTACGGAAACGTCGTTTCTATCATGTAATCTTGTTGGTCCTCTTCCTCTGTCTCGGGAGGACACTCACCTGCTCACACTGGTGGATCGGACTACTAGGTGGCCAGAAGTTGTGCCCTTTTTCTCAACATCAACTGGGGACATTGCACGTGCTTTTATTGGCACCTGGAGTGCCAGATCTGACAGGAATGACTGGCTCTCTTTGGTGTTGCTGGGACTTCAGATGGCCCCTAAGGAGGATTTACTGGCTTGTTCAGCAGAGCTTGTTTATGGGAAGACACTTAGGGTGCATGGCGACTTTGTTCCTGGTATCAAAACTCCATGGTCTGGATCAGAACACAATCCCACACTGCGAAGCCATGACTCCACTTTCGTTCCAGTGCCCAGCTCTTAGCATGGACTTAACAAGGCTTGGGGTCCCAATGTTCTGTCTTCTGCAAAATTTGTGTTCGTTCGACATGATGCACACAGAGGGCCATTGAAACCGCCATATGATGGGCCATTCCGGGTTCTGGAGTCCACGGATAAAACATTTGTAATTGATGTAGGTGGGAGGTCAGAATGTGTCTCAATTGAACACCTTAAACCAGCTCACAGAGACCTGTATCAGCCAACTGAGGTGGCCGTGGCACCTACCTCTGTCAACAAATCTGGCCAGTTTGTCGCTCAAGCTTTTCCTGGTAATAGCCCGTGGCAGGTGACCCGTACAAGAGTGGTATGCAGAATTTGTGCCCCTGATGAACTGGATATGTAGATCTGTGAATTCTGGGAGGGTGTTGGTGCTAGTGTGGCGGCATACACTTGGGGACTGTTTACACCTGGTCACTTCATGCATTTTCTCTGATCGGATAGCTATCTGATTGTGAAAAGACCAGGTGTAAATGCCCTCCAAAATGCTTGATTTTATTTTGATATAAATCCGACTGCTCAAACCACAGGAGGAGGTTTGGGCCGCATTCCAGATGAAACTGGACAAGTGTAAATGCATTGGTTGTTGAAACCACATATTTAAATTTTATTCCTTAAAAAATGTTAATAAAATAAACGTGTGAGAGCTTGTTATAGTCTATATGACATGTTGTAGGCAGATATGACGGCGCTAATACAACGCGCATCACTGCAGATGTGTAGCTGAGTATGTCTTCAGCAAGTCGACGTGCAAACTGCTGCAAACACACAATCTCAACACACAATCACTCAACACAGACGGTCAACACACAATCATCTTCAGTAAAAGTAGTAAGTAGAAAATAAAAAAGTAGAAGAAAAGTTGACAGTCGGCCGTCGGCCAATGTCGGGCTGTCGGCGAGCATCTGTCGGGCTAGTTTTTTTGGTGTTCCACACGTCGGCACTCGTCAGTCTCACATCTGTGCCAGTTTTGCCTGATAAATGATATTCAAAATGGTAAGCAAGTGCTGCTTTGTTTACGTTTAGTATATCTGTGTATATGTCGTACATCCGTTTTTCGGTTTCTCCTTTTAAATGATGAATATATAATACTGATAGATGCTAATATAGACAGCTAATTCCTCTCACGCAGGCACAGAACACACTGTTAATTTGCAGCAGGCTATAGTCTGAGTTGTGTGTTCAAGTGCAGATTTTTTATCCAGACACTGCCGAAGCGAGAGGAAACACACTTCTGCTTTTGTCATCACTAGTTCTTTGAAGTTCCCAGCCTTTACAAAAAATAAATTATACTAACACTAATTAGTATACTAATAAAAATTAGAGCATGTACTTTCAGTCTACTTTTTATGTACTTACATATCAGATATATACAAATTTATAATTTTATGCTACATTTATACTACTGTATAAATTTATACCACAGTACATTTGGCTTGTACTGACATACAGAAAAGTCAAAGAATATTTGGCCAATGCTTGAACTTATCTTTGGATCTGGATCACATGTATCAAACTCTGCTCCTGAAGGGCCACTGTCCTGCAGAGTGTAGCTCCAACCAGCTCCAAAATAACTTCCTGGAAGTTTCTAGTAATCCTGAAGATCTTGATTAGTTGGTTCAGGTGTGTTTAATTATCATTGGAGCTAAACTCTGCAGGACTTCCAGGACCTGGGTTTGACACCCTTGATCTAGATATACTTAAAAAAAGTATAATTAAATATTCTAAGTATACTTGGCTTGTAGTTGTGTTTGCTCTTTTGATATAGCAGCTTATTACATACTTTTTCAAATATTGACAGCTTAGAGGTACAGTAGTATTCCAGCATGATTTATATAGTATTTGATAAACTTACTTGTTAAAGTTTATAAAAACAAGTCAGCTTTGCAGTGAATCGTAACTCATAATACATAAATTATTATCAAAAAATCCAATGAAGGGAAAGAGCTAGGTTCAAGTCAACTTAAATGAATAGATTATATCAAGTATAAAAATAATACCTAAATAAGAACCTAGTATACTTAAAGTGCAAATATATTATATAAGCACTCAGCCATTAGTAACACATTGTCACATTCTCTTTTGGTTTCTCTTCCTGTGTTTAGTTTAGTTTCTGTGTTTGTTGTTCGCTTGGTTTCTTTTGCTAGTTTGTTTCTATGGTTACTGATTGATTATGTTCATCTGTTCCTTGTTGAGTTTCTCATTATCTTGTGAATTTATACCCTCAGTTTCTTTTATTCAGTCCAGTATTGTCTTTGTGTCAAAATCTTGTGTTTACTTTGCCTGTAATCTCTCTCTGTGTTTATTCTAGTAGCATTTGGGGTTTTTGTGTCAGTAAAGAAGAAAGCTGCATTTAGATTCACATCTCTTCTACTTGCCTTGCTCACAATGTGACAGAATACCAGACCTGGAAAGGAGATGGCTCTAGCAGCCGTCCACCTCCTCCTCTTCCTCACCCAGGATGATCACTCCCTTGACGACCATACCACATTTTTTTTGGAACATGTCCATCAATCAGTTGTGGCCTAATGGATAGAGAGTTCGACTTGTAACCCAAAGGTCGTGGGTTTGAGTCTCCGGTCCGGCAGGAATTGTAGGTGGGGGGAATGAATAACCAGTGCTCTCTCCACCTTCAATACCATGACTGAAGTGAGACCCTTGAGCAAGGCACCGAACCCCCAACTGCTCCCCGGGTGCTGCAGCATTGGCTGCCCACTGCTCTGGGTGTGAGTTCATGGTGTGTGTGTGTGTGCACTTGGATGGGTTAAATGCAGAGCACACATTTTGAGTATGGTACACCATACTTGGCCACACGTCACTTCACTTCAAAAACACTTCCTTGTCAGTTTGTTAATTTCATTTTATTACACTGGATTTCATGAACAGTTAAAAACCAATATCCCTTTTCCTTTTGATGGTACTCGAGGGAAATGTATTGATTTTTTTCTTTCACCATGGATGAAGTGGAGGAGGGCTTTGATTGCAACTCACCCGCCACAGACCTAGAGCTCACACTCACCACTGACTTCTTGCCAGTGGAGATGTTTGTCATGGAGCTAGAAGCGGAGGACATGTTTGTCCCAGACCCTGAACCTGTTGCCATATCTGTCTCAGAGCTAGAGCCAGCAGCCATGTCTGGCCCAGAGGGAGCACTAATCCAGTTTGACATCCTGAAGTGGAGTCCTACCTATGTCCTCACCCTCAAAGCTCTTCCTTCTCTTCTGGTCCTGTCCGCCTGTCCTGTCTGGAAACTTTCCTCCCCTTCCAGCCTCCAAGCTCCTTCATCTCCGCTGGTTCCATCCAGCCTTCAAGCTCCTGCATCCCAACCATGGAGGCCATACCATGTTTCCGTGTCCTGACCATGGAGGTCATCCAAAACCTAGTCATCCTCACTGGTCCTGTCCAGCTGCTTGGCTCCTCTCCTTCTGCTGGCTACATCCCGCTTCATGGCTCCGGTGTCACCCTGGATTTTCATCTCCTTGTTTCCGCCTGGGTCTCTAACTCTCCCAGCTTCGCCTCACTGGATTGATCGCCTTGTTAACCTCAATCCACAGCCAAATCTCCACCCTGGCTCCTCACATCCAATGTGAGTTCTTCTTCCACTGGCTTCTTCAGTGTGTCCTCCTCCTCAGGTCCCTCCATAAAATTCACCCGAGAGTCCTGGCACTCTCTCCCACTCTTTTGGTGTAGTTTTTGCTTACACTGCAAGGTGGGATTTAGCGGGTGCCTAGTGAGGGTAAATATCACGTTTTGTTTACTTAAAAATTTTCTATAAACTGAAATGTGGGCCCATTTAGTTCCAAGTACTGAAATTATACTACTATTATAAAGTATACTACTAGTACATTGATTTTTTTTTGTATACTTACTGCATAAAGTATGCTTTACCGAAGTTTACTTAATAAAATTAATTTGAAATATAATTCTTTTTTGTAAGGGTTAGCTTTTCAGTTTTCTTCTTTTTTCAACTTTTCTTTAAAGCACATTTTACTCTCCCAGCTTAAAATACAGAGTAATATAAGGCATTCATAGGTTCATTTTCTTGAAACTGGAGAAATTACATACGTCAGGTTTAATTTCATTTTGTTCAGGGGGGTTTAGCAGACCTTTGTGGTTGAAGTCATAGATGTACTCAGGACAGAGAACTGCAACCGTCTGATTGGGCTTCCCCATGGGCCAGCAAATTATCCCATCCCATTCAGGAACACAGTGATCCTCTGACAATATACACACATATCATTTTTTACCAAAAGTATAACATGAAATACATCTATATTTAACTAAAACATGCATTCAATGTATTCTCCAACAAAATGTTTGAAGGTGACAAGTCAAATAAATATACTGTACATATAGTAGTAACTCAAAAGTAAATGCGGTATATTTTTGATATAACCCAAGAGCAGTGCATCTGCATTCATCACACAATTAGGCAATTCTATGTCCTGCTATAAAGTGACTCATCACTATGAATAACAAAGGAACCTGAGCTTAAATCAATATTTCTTATCTTAAAATCTTCATATAAACAGGGCCACAGTCTAATTTGCCATAATCATAGATCTCGCTGTCTTCAGGAAATTGGATCTGTGGGGTTAGGAAGATACCATCTTTTGATTGCTTCAGTATAGTTGTCCATTTGTCGCAACAACTCTTCTTAGCTTTATATTATGCCAAGTTACACATTTAATTTAATTAGATAGAGATGGTAGATAAAGTAGATATCAGCATATATGAGTCATATGGGATTTTGTTCTCCTCTTCTATCGTCTATCAAGTGAAAATCATAAGTGTGATTGGCTTTAAAAGTAATTGCATGCTTCTCCTCAACAGGCCCTATAATTTGATAGGCTATACTTAGGGTTAGGGGTGTTTCTGACATTGTATAACAGTCATTTACTCACACAATAATTACATGCACTTTTCTCACTGAAGCAATTTTACAATTAAGTGCACAAATCAAGCCGAAATACACTATAATACCTCTGACACCATCTAACTGTGCACGGATGCTTCTCTCACACCTCGCTCGTGCATCAATCAGAAGAAAGATCTGTTCATCTCTGGTGATGACATCATCAGAATCAATCTGTAAGAACAGTAACATAGAAAGAGAGAACATTACTCTCTCCCTTTCACATTTTTTCACTTTACACAATTCTAGACACCATGATGAATACCAACAGCGCAGTATCATCATAATCATCATATCTTGACTCTGAAAGATAGTGGTCATTTTTTTTCTTAATGTTATTGTGCAATTTCTACATGGTAGATACAATTATATTTCTAAATGCATGTGCATTTTTTTTTTTAATTTAGGCACTTTCATTTATGTCCCATGGGGTGGTTTTCTTTTTGTTATCCCCAAAACAAGTGCATTTAACTATACTGAATGTGCACTTGTAGTGTTCTTAAAATCTTTAAAATGTAAAAAAAAAAAAAAAACTTTAATTGCAGATAATATAATATTAATTCAATATATGTCACACTTTATTATCCACTTTAGTCCAATTTGTAATAATGTGAAATTAAACGTTTTGCTTTAAAGTACATTTTAAATAGTTTTTTAAATAATCATTTGTCATGCTTTCATGACGTACAATTATTTTGCTAATATACTAAAGTATAAAATACTTGATTCGTATTACATTTAAAGTTAACATATTTTAAATATTTAGTTAAATAAAAGTTAAAGTTTTTAAAGTTATTTTGTCAGTAGATACTCAAGGGATATAAATATCACATAAAAAAACTTTAATAATTTTTTTAAATGCTTTTTATATTTTATTGTTTTTATTGTCCCTGAAATTCTTTCAAGACTTTCAAACTTAAACTATTAAAATACATAATAAAAATCAATTTCACATGTTTAAATATATATCTCAACAAAGAATGCAATAATATACATAAACATGTTGAAAAAAATGGTTGTTTTACCATTTAATCTACACATGTGAGATTACAAAAGACTAACAACAACCTCCCTTAGTTTCCATGCATATGGTTTATGGTTTTCCACAATCTCATCTTAAATCATTGACATATAATTCGTCTATCACTATCTGGCGCGCTTTCTTTTAGGCTCATGCGCTGTCTTTCGGTGTTGTGAAATATTTGCACAGTCCTGTGGTATGTGACGAGCTCTCTTCAGCCTTCAGGATGAGAGAGCATATCCAACCTTATACACACCCCACACCCATGGCCATCCCTCACCACTGTCCCACATCCCACTGGGTCCTCACGAGTAGAGAAACACAGAAGCATTTGTGCCCTGAATACATTCACAACCACCGAACAAAACTTCAAGCTCACACACTGACCATGAGAAGAAAGAAAGAAAGAAAGAAAGAAAGAAAGAAAGAAAAAGGCGCTAAACAAATTAAAATTTAAGTCGCCATGAAATCAAAAATGACCCTGTCCACATCCAATTATTTATGATATTTTGGTCTCTATATGACTTGTTTATATAGAGTTTATGCTTTGCACCAAATTGTCCGGCCACTTAGACAAACAATAGAATATCATCCCTCAACAAGCCACATGATTTCAGGAATTGTTCACAGCACAGTTGTAGCACAATTGGGAAAGAGTTACTGGCCAAAAACTAATAATTTGGGTTTGTTCAGATCTCTAACCCTTAATTTGAGCAATAGTAACAGTAATGCTTGCATTTAATTATAATGAATATATTGATAATACTTGTAAAATGACATTGTGAATGTACTTCTAAAATCGTATTAATTGTTTATTTTTGTTTTGTGATAGCGTCACAAAAATTTCAAATTCAAAATGCAATTCTAAAAAGCTTTAATATTTCATACACACACACACACACACACACACACACACACACACACAGAGATAACATTATAATCAGGGCCGGATTTACGCATAGGCATTCTAGGCACGTGCCTATGCTTGCTCGTCCAGGGGGGCCCAAACACAATGAAGAGATATATAATATTTTTGTTATAGATATCCCATGTTATAAATACTATGGGATATCTACAGTAGTAAAAGAACCAGATCCCCAGAAGACATTGAGCAAATAAATATAACAAACAATAGGGTAAAATTGACAACCTAGTTTCATGTCTTCAACCTTTTTATGTACGGAAATCACGCTTTCTTTCTCCCGTTCTCTCTCTCTCCCTCACGCACGCACAGACATAGACGCACTCGCGCACACACGCGGAGAAGCGGACAGAAACTTGTCATCAGCGCTGCGGGCCTGCGGCTGCCCCGCGAATTTATCAATAAAAGAGTTTCTGAAAGCAGCTGAAAAGCTACATGACATTTCTCAGTAGCGAGGTTCTTGAAGCAGTTCAAAGATTCGCTATTAGTAGACGCTGCTGCTGAATACTGCTGAGAGACGCACATACGCAACTATTCACACACACTTAATCTCTCTCTCTCTCTCTCTCTCTCTCTAATAACTGCGTTAGACTGCATTAATAACCGCGTTGGCCTGCATATCAATGGCTCAAGCCTCTGTTATTACAATTTGTTTGAATTCTCAAACAAATTAAGAACCTACATTCGATTTTTATTGACTGAACGCAAGCGCGTATTGCGATAGAAAACACTGTAACGGTTTCCACTGATTAAGAAATATTTTTGTTTGCTTGGGTGGTAGCCTAATATTAGGCCTATATGGGGGCCCAACAATGTGTTTTGCCTATGTCACGAAAAGAGGTAAATCCGGCCCTGATTATAATCACAGCATCATCATTACAGTTCACATTAGTCATTAAGGGACTAAAACTGCAAAAAGTCAATTAACCATCTGTCTTGTTTGATTTGTGTTTTTTTTACCACTGGAAGACATAGGCATTAATGAACCACACTCTCACACAATCGAATGCCATTGATTCGTAATAATTGGTTTGCGTGACTGCCCAGTGTTAAAACAACTGTAAGGATGTCATCTGATAGATATAAGTGAATGTTTATTTCATTACACATTTAATTCACGTTTGAAGAGGGTTAGTCTGTTTCAGTAGTCCAGAAGTAAACGTTTGAACTTGCCGAATAAAAGACATCTGCATAATTCTGAAGATATTTCACTAGGATGTTCAAACACCTGTCTTCTCCATGCAGTGAAGGTTCAATTAGTGGCATGGCAGTGTGCTTGATCAATAGTGCTTCTCGGGGTCATGTTAATACCGTTTCTAAATTGTCTGTTTATCGAGCGTTCATCTCTCTCTGACAGACTCATTTTCTGCTTCATTGAACATGTACATGCATACGCCAGTAATTCTCTCTGAGGTTGACAGGACAAACAAAGAGACACTTTCATTTCCTCAATAGCCAGACATATGCACAACCCCGAAAAAAATTATACATTTCTTTGCGCCCAATCTAAATTTCAGAACAACACTTTTTTTTAAGAATTGAGCTTCCACCAGGGTCGCCGCTAGTGAGGTGAAAGGTGGTGACGATTATAGGGGCCCGCGGCTGTGGGGGAGGGGGTTCGCGTCGTCACGAAAGCTTATCAGTTGCACGTTTTAAGCCTTGCCAATTTAAACGTTAAAAACAATTTAAAGCACTCAAACACAAGACGCGTAAAAACTCGTGCGTCTGTGCGTTCACGGAGAGCCGCGCAAACACCGAACCGAGCTCTCCTTCGCTTCCTCCCGCGCCTGGACGAACAAATACACCTCGCCAGTTTAAACATACAAACACAAAAAAGACATGAAAAGCTTAATTCAGCACCCGCGCGCTGTGTTCTGAGAGCCACGTCTCACAGCCCTTGAACACCGAATTGAGCTTTGCCTTTGCATCGTCTTGCTCTTGAAACGACAAATACATACAAAATTATGTCACAATAAGTCTTTGCGAGTATCCTCGAAAAAATTGTCGGTTATGTCTTAAGTGAAAGTAAACAGTTGAGAAAAAAATCGAATGTGTATATCATTATATTGGATGTATTGTCTCTTAAAGTGACTGCGCCTATAATTTACTAGCTGATGTTGGTGTCCTTAATGTTAATCCAAGAAATTAAATGGGAGAAAATCACTCACTGCTCTTTAATGAATTACTTTGTAGTTTTAACAATAACTAATCTATATTTAATTTATACAGTGAAGACTATGCAATGCTTTTTTACATTTGATTATTCAGTATCTGTACCATTGCCGATCCTAGACTTCTGGGGGCCCTACGCAAAACTATTTCGGGGTGGGTGGGGTATGAGTGGTTATGAACGAATGAATGAAATGCATTTGTCCGTGTTTCACTCTGTCTCGAATCGCTCTCGCGGAAAACGCTTGAGAAACAGGCTGTGTCAGAAATCGCCCCCTATACCCTTAAATAGGGCAATATTTGAGGGGACAGCCATTTTTATTGGTGTCCGGAACTAGCCCGCGTTTCTCAATATGCGTTCTTGTCTGTACTTGTGTTCTCGTGGACTTGTGATCGTCATCAGTCGTTGCCCAAGTACTGTTCCAATTCAAAGTTCACATCTAGCCAAGTACAGTTCAAATCCCCGGATGTGTTCTTACTCCACCCCTTTTACCAAGGATGCATCCAGAGGTGACTTGTGCGAACTTGAGGCAGCCAGGTATCCCAGAATGCTTTTCGCACAAACCAGCGAGCGTTAATGGCGGAGGAGAAAACCTGCATAATTTTCAAAATATTACTGTTATTGTCATGAAATGCAGTTCTAAGAGTATTTCAGGCGAGAATGTAGTTGTTTAAAACTCATATATATTATAAACTCTGCGGTTTATTTATAAAGATAGCGCCTATTTGAAAATTTACTCTGCCGATTTCAGAAACGAGAACTCCACGCGATCACCGAGCGTTCAGTACTCATGTATCCGCTAGTCCTTCTGACATTTGCCGCTGGCTCTGATGTCTCTGTAGTGGTTAAACATGAGATATAATTCATTCTGGGTAAATCTAACAGGCAATCTTTGGTCTCATGAATCTATTATTTCTTCCAGGTCACATCGTTTTGGCTGAGCACAAAGTTATGTTTCATAAATTATTTATCAATCGTAATACAGCACGGACTTGTTGCATACATTTGACTGAATTATTTGCTTTTGTCTGATTTCCTATTACATAAGTCTCTTATACTTC